TCCATCCATCCATCCATCCATCCATCCATCCATCCATCCATCCATCCATCCATCCATCCATCTCATTACTGTAACCTATATCTTATTTTTTCAACAAATGTTGCTCTCAGGGCAGCTAACAAATTTTATTTTCGCCATCAGATATTTTGGGTTCATTACCAAGCACCCAGCTGACCACAGATTTGCGTGCCATGTCTTTGTCTCAGAGGAATCCACCAAGCCACTTGCAGAGTCTGTAGGGTGAGTAGTGGGCTGCTATGTCCTGGATTCTCATTTTTCTAGGAATTTTATTTGATCTAACGGAAAGGGGCACTAGCCTCAGATAATGGATGTAGTATGTACCTTTGAGGGGGATGTGGTGACTCAGTGGATAAGACACTGAGTTTGTCGATCAGAAACATTGGCAGTCCGGCGGTTCGAATCCCTAGTGCCACATAATGGAGTGAGCTTCTGTTACTTGTTCCAGTTTCTGCCAACCTAGCAGTTCAAAAGCATGTAAAAATGCAAGTAGAAAAAATAGAACCAACTTTGGTGGGAAGGTAAGAGCGTTCCGTGTGCCTTCAGCATTTACTCATGCCAGCCACATGATCACCGAGATGTCTTCGGACAGTGCTTGCTTTTCGGCTTTGAAACGGAGATGAGCACCGCCCCCTAAAGTCGAGCACAACTAGCACATATGTGCGAGGGGAACCTTTACCTTTATGCAGCTCTGGTTGCAGTAGTAATCACAGCATACTTCCTGGGGTCAGGGATTAACCATCTTTCAGTGTCCAGGAAAGGGTAAACACAGTTTACTGAGAATTCTAACTCTGTCTTCAGTTTGCTTAGTATCCCATAAGTATGGCATGAAGACTTGTTTCAGGGAGATGCAAGGTTTGACTGGAAACTATCTTCATTGAAGTTAGTGAGTTTGCAGAAATGTACTCTGTTTCCTGGAAAATCTTAGAGTATTGAGTCAAGATGTTCTTATAAAAGCAATCTAGTGCTTGAATTCTTCATCATTAAGATGTTTAAATGGCTCATGGAGCTACTCCTGTTTTTCAATATGCAGCATTTTCTAACGGATGATCAGGCCCTCCGCAATGTGGAGAGAGAAGAATTCATTAAGGCTGATGCATTTTTCTGAGGCCAATTTGTACATATCTGTGCCTAAATGTTCTATTTGCATGAACGTTAATATATGTGCATGAGGTCAGCGCTTTAGATCTGTGAAAATTCCATTTCTGAAATGCTGTTTGTTAAAAAAAAACAGAGTTACTACAGATTTATGGTACTTGGTTCCCAGTTATTTGGCACAAGTTCTTGCATAACTTATTGTCCTTTCCTGTATAGTTGGCACTTAATATGTGCAGTAAGCAGGTTATTCTGCCAAATCTTTACAATTCTGGGATGTGCTGTATTTTTATCATTCTTTACCCGGTTACAAAAGATTATTTTAGGGAAATATGATTCTTTTTCCTAAAGTGCTTGAAAATACAGGACTAAATAATGAAAAACTTTAAAAAGAATGGGCGTGTGAAGCACAATGGTTCTTGAATCATGCTGTGTCTGTACTCTATGACACACATCTAGTTTCTCTTCAACACACCTTTTTGTCTCTCGTTCTTTTGCAGGAAGGCTTTCCATCAGTTCTACAAGGAATGTGTGGAATATACGTGCCCCACAGAGGATATCTATCTAGAGTAGGGGCAGGCCCAGCCCCCTCTTCCTGTATAGACAAGGGCCATTTCCCCATTGTGCATGGACAAAGCTGCTTCAAGTCTGAAGGAGGAAGAGGCATGGGAGCAGTTTCCCTCCATACGCAGAGCCCCTCCTCTTTCAGTACACCTCCTTTCCTTGGGCAGGGGGTTTGGGAGTCAAGAATGGGTGGGATGGGTGGCAAACCATGGGGATTACTATTTTTAAAGAAATGCATTCTCTTTTTCTTTATTCAAAGAAAAATGCCACCAGTGAAAGCAGTTGCTGCCCCACACATCTGGATGATCAAGCAAAGCATTGGCCCGAGAACAGGCAGGGTTGAAATATCCCATCTGTTTGACATAGGAGGGGGGCTGGTTTGGTGCCTGGGCAAAGAAGCTCCTCCACACTTTTGTGGGTTCCTGCTATGTGCTGGAAACTGCTCTAGTCTGCCACATGTTCCACATTTAACATAGGCTGTTTAATAGGACAGAAGTGCTGGACTTCCACCAAGAAAATTGGGTAGTTGATATGCTTAGATAAAAGATAAGGAAATAATCAACCGAAATCTTGGAAACGGCTATGGAAGCTAAGCATAAAAAGATTTCTGACAAGTCCCAGTAAATACAAATCCATTTTGTATTTGACCTCCCATGTCTGTAAAAGTAATCCAGGACTACTGTACCGGACATACTTTGGCACTTGGACTTTGAAAGGGAGAAGAGTTTGAGAAATCTGGAGTTATAGCGTCAATGTATCTTGTGGGTGCCAGGTTGTGGGAGGCTGAAGGTGAAAACTAGAAAGAACCACTGTACTTCTAACTGATATAGATAAGACTCTCTGTTCAACTCTGGTTGTGCTATCCCCTTTCCTTCATCTATCTGCAGATCCTAATCTCACAGGGGTGGGAGTAATCTGGATACTATGGTGAGCCTAGAGCCGTGCACCTGATTCATCCATATTAGGGGGCTGGGAGATGCTCCAGCCATTAAGCACAATGCTGAATCAGGAAACAGTAGTGAGGTCTTGTGGGAGAGGCAAAAGCTAGGGGACTAGCATGGGTAACGGGGGCCCAAGAACTGCAGAAAGGTGTGCCTTTGCCTTCCTCCCCTGCCTACGAACCCAAGCTTTCCAGGCAGAGGGCTCTGTGCTTCTGCTGGATCTGCTCTGATGACAACAATGATTAAACATTGATGTTTCAAAGGAACCGTGTTGCTTTTGTGTTATGAGGTCTTTTAACAACTGTTTGAAGCCCTTAGGACCGAATTGCAGGAGCCAACGTAGATGTTTCAAAAGATAGTATTGTATTAATGTACCCACCCACCCAAGTCTGAGAAGTAGTCTACATAAAATTAAGAGAAGTCTTACATGCCTGCAATTTTCAGAATTGTACATTGTAAAGATTGCAGAATCGTATTATATTAGAGCCCTGTTTGGCTTGTATGGAATGACCATTCAGGGGCATAGTGAAGCAACTTTCTTTTTGCATTTCCTTTGCCCCTGCATTCATTTTTCAAGATTCATATCCTGCATCTCACAAGGAAAAATGGCTTACATAGTAGCCCTTATTAGCGAAGCTGTCTCTGTATCTTTTATTGTTATGTACAGTATAATGTGGAGGGCCCTGTTTTTTACGTGTCGGAGGTTACCATTATGTTCTGCCATTTCATACTCACTAGAAATCTGCTTTAATAGCTGCATCCTCACATTCTCTTAAAGAGCAGCTGGTTTGGTCTAGTATTTAAGGCAACAGAAACCAGGAGACTGAAAGTTCTAGTCCCGCGTAGGCATGAAAACCAGACCAGTCACTCTCAACTCAACCCATCTCACAAGATCTTGAGGAAAATAGGAGGAGGAAATATTAGGTATCATTGCCCCCTTGAGTTATTTACAAAAATAATAAAAGATGGGATAAAAAAGAAAGGATTTTGAGATATTGGAACTTGGGAACCTGAGTCAGCTTTACAACAATGTCTGTCTCTAATGTCAGCCGTTATTTCAGCCAAATATGTAATTACCTACTAAATAGGCATTCTCTAAAATGCCTTTAGATGAGTTTGGATCTGGGCTTTTGCTAAATATTATGTAAATGAATGGCACTACAAAGACAGAAAGGCTTTTGAGAGCTAGGCCTATTTAATAATTGTTGAAATTGAAGGCTATAAAATCTGTTCATAACATTAATTTATATAGATTATAATTTTAATATGAGGTGGAAACCAAATTCAGAATCACTGGAGAAGTTGTTGATGAAATAGTCATGGCACTGAAAACTGTATTGGACTCTCATTTTTCACTACACAGCCTCAATGTTGGTGATGAAGCCTTATCTCCAGCCAGTAGCCAAAAGTTTCCAAATTATTATTTAGCATAGTAGGAATTAAAAGCAAGAAAGGAAAACAGAGAATCTACAAACGTCAATCTCACCTTAAAATATTGTGTTTATGATAGGGGTGCATACAGAGCTGCAGGGAGAGTTTTTAGAATAGCGTTAAGTAACAGGATGGGGATTATTGCTATATGCATTTGGCTATACAGCATGTTCTCTTGCCACTTTCAAAGGAGGTCATCGTAATAATACTCTTCAACATTGGGTTCATCCCTTTTGCTTTTATGTGTTCTGTGCAGTGTTTCTGACTCCTTACGTTGTTTCCGTATCTGGAATTTGGGATGGCGTGGTTGAAGGCCATAATCTGTGAAAACACAATCTTGTGAAATACTGCAGGTAGTAGGAATGGGAAATATTATTATGGTGGTTATATATCCCCAGAGGGCCCACAAGCAGGCACTAGTCACACAAGTGTAGACCCCATTCCAGTCCTGTTTTGGCTGCAAAGGAGACACTAACTTCCATGGCTACTACTTTTTGTAATTGATTGGTTGATCTAGAACTGACTGACCTGGAGAGGGCAAAGCTTTGCTAGTAACAAGTCCATTAATGCACAGATTGGAAAGTGTAATTGGAAGGATTTTGTTCTTGCATTTTTGTAGCCTTCCTGACAGGAAATTCTTTTCCCAGGCGAATCCTGTCTCCTTGCTTCCTTACATCATGTTACGTTTGTAGGGTATTGAACTCAAACTCGCAAACTGCCCTTAGATAGGTTTGTATCTTGACTGCACATATCTGGGTAACTACTAGACGGTACCCCAAATCCCTCTTTGTTGCCACTTGAGATTGATAAGTTAAATACTTGGCAGGTTGAATCCCAGGTTCAAAGACAAAGAGGGGAAAAAATGCAACAAAAATTGTAGTGCACTGAGTAATCATTGTTCTACATGCCAATTGGAGGTCATATTTTCATATGTATTTAAGCCAGTGTTCATCTCAGAAACTTTAAGAAGTGTGGACTTCAATTCCCAGAATTCCCCCAGCCAACATGGAAATGGAAGCCCACCCTTCTTAAAGTTGCTAACATTAGGAAATGCTGGGTAAAGCTGTATAGAGAGTAGCATAACACAGGCCTGTCCCTAATGTGGAGCATGGGCACATTGTGGAGACAATAGTATGATTTCCTGAGGTTCCAGGACAGGAGGGGGAGAGGCACAACAAAACAAGTTGCGTGAATGTGGCCCCCTGCCTAATGTGGAAGAGATGTAAGCAATGTGCCTTTACCCAGTGATGCCTTATGCCAAGAAATAGGAACTAGATTTAATAAGTGCATACCATCCACTAAGCCAAACTGTTTCTGCTGGAGCTCCAAGGGTGCAATGAAGTCTTCTGGGACAGATCTTCTGAATCTGCCATAGGAGAGCACAAGATCAGGAAGGGCTACGATTACTGCTTAAAGCACTGGTGTTTGTTTTAAAAAACAAATCAATACAGGGCAATTTCCTCATCATTTCTTTTGACAAATCTCATGGGCAGATAACCAAGTGATTAAATCCTAAATTGTTTTTTTAACAGTAGCTATCATAAATCCTCCATAACCACATGACATTTCTTGAATCCATAAACAAAATGCTGTAAAATTCAATTAATGGATCATCAATAAACTTAATTTACATATTTCAACCTTAATTCTCTTTATATTGGTATTGGATATAGACTATGAAGGAACAAATCCTCCAAGGAATTCCTCCCGTCAGAGATGTGCATGTTTGCAATCTTCCATGCACACCACTTGTTAAATCAGAACTTGCAAATCTTGATGTGAAAATCATATTGCAGTGAAATCATACTGGCACTCTTTCTATAAGTGTTTATTTGTTGCAGGTGCCCATTGGAACACACTTTTATTGTGCCTGAATGTGACTGAAATGAGCCTGCATATTTGATGGGTGGAACTAATTTGTTTTAATAATCCTTAATTTTTATTGATAATCCTCACAAATGAAATTCTTTCTATTTTTAAAAATATGAATTTAGTCTCTAAGTATATTTATGCAGTTCATTGTATCTTTTTCTTTTCTATTGCAATCTTTCAATAGTCCAAAAAGAAAAAAAAATATAGTCCGTGGTCTAAATTGTTCTAGGAATATATATTTCCTTCAGATTTCATACTCTATGATTGTATCAGTCCAAATATTACTTGTCAGTAAAAAAAAAAAATTACCAAGCGCCATTTTCTATCACTAGTTATTAAAAGAGTTCTTGTGTGCAAGATCACAATGTCACAGATATAATGAAACATGAAAATAAAGTGAGGAAGAAACAAAACAAAACACCAGTAATGAACAAATGATGAAATGTCCTACCCTGAAATATGCTAGTGGTAACTGTATAAAATTTATTTATTAAAGACAAAACTGCATGTTGGGTAATGAGCATTTTATATTATCTGTTGTCATGATCTCTCACCTCTCCTTGAGATAACACAATTACACAGTGACATCATATAATTGCAATTTTCTGAAATAAATTCTTATCTTGGGGTGTCGTGTGGGGAAAAAAAATACCAAAAAGCTCCACAAAAAAAAAATCCACCCATCACTGAAACTTAAAGGCATATCATGCCTCACTCATTCCAATCAGATATCAGTGTTTTACTCTTTTCTGATAAAAGTTAATTTCAATTAATTAAATAATCAGTATTTGGATTCATCCCTCGGTTTTTCCTGAAACTGAGCTTAAACATATTGTACACTGTACACTTGCAAAGTTGTTCTGTCAATGCTAAAAAGTGTAAAATATTCCTAAAACTGGGTATGGATAGGGAAGATAGCACCACTACATGATTTTTCAAGCCAGGTGGCCCATCAATGCTCCTTTCCCATCGTAACTACCATGTTTCCCCAAAAATAAGACAGGGTCTTATTTTCTTTTTACCCCCAAAATAAGTGCTTGGCCTTATTTTCAGGGAGGTCTTATTTTTGAGGTGCAGGAGGCAGCGAGCATGGTCACCTCATGGCTGCTGCTGTGTTGCAGTATTTTCAGGGAGGGCTTATATTAGCATATGGGCTCAAAAGCCCGATTGGGCTTATTATCCGGGGAGGTCTTGTTTTCAGGGAAACAGGATATGAATTTATCAGGTACATAGGATCAGTACTGAGGCATAAAAGCTCTAACCGTTACCTTT